GCATTATTCACTGATGTTGCACATGTGAGTTTCCGCATGTTGGGTATTGGGTGCCTGGGATCAGGACTGACCATACGTCTACAAGAGCATCGATCAACGCAATTGGAATACGATGACATGCATCAACCAAGTCAGCGAGCCTGACCACCCGATCCCGTTAGTTTCCTCTTACGACAAGCACAGTCGCCTTTTACGACAGACCTATTCTGCCCCGGATCTTCACTGGTCGCCTGACTTAATGGCGTGTATTTGTACTTCAACGGCGGGTGGTTGGTCATGCTATCAACCCCTTGTTTACTGTCCTAGGCTCCATTACGAGGGCTGGTCAAAATGTTCTAAGCCTAACAAACCAAACCAAAGATTATGAAAGTGTTTTTAATTTTATTTTGCAACATAATCTCCCTGCTTTTCAATACAACTCTCATATCGATAGTGAAGCTTTTCATTTCCAGTCAGGAAGAAGGTTTCTGAAGCCACCCTGAAAACCCATTCACCGCAGCTATGAGGTCATCGTTGTCGTCATAGCGCTTTCCACGAAGGTGTTCTTTCAGTTGAGGAAACAGGTGGAAATCACTTGGTGCCAGGTCTGGCGAGTATTGAGGATGAGGAAGCTCTTGGAACCCACATTGTCGCACAGCAGCCTTTGCAAGTCGAGAGGTGTGAGAATAGGCATTGTAATGAAATGGTAGAACTCCAGCAGTCAGCATTCCTCGCAGCTTTTCTTTGATAGAATCTCCCAGGCGATGAAGCAAATTAGCATAGTAGGCACCGGTAATCGTCTTTTGACTTTCTAAGTAACAACAAGGATCACATCCTTTGCATCCCAGAATGCAGTGGCCATTTCTTCGGTGCCGGAGAAGTGGAATGGTGCCATTACATGGTTTGACGTTTTGACTCGGGATCATAGTGGTAGACCCATGTTTCATCAAACGTTACTAATTTCTATTTGAATTTGACGAAAGCCACCTCAAATAGCTCTATTTTCTTTGGCAATGTCAGTGCTTTTTCCCCTTAAGATCAGCAACTATGCTTGTCGTAAGAGGCGACTAACGGGATCGGGTGTTCAGGCTCGCTGACTTGGTTGATGCATGTCATCGATCCCAATTGCGTGGATCGATGCTCATGATGTCAATCACTGGATTGTCTGGTCCAGACTCGATTATTTACAGACCGCCGTCATATACCTGGAATATTGCTGAGTGCGGCGTTAAACAACCAACCAACCAACCTTAAGAAACGAATTTAGAAACTTTGGCACCCAACGAGCAGATGTCTTATTCATCTTTAAATGTTCATGAATATTAGGTTCAATGGCTCCATGGCTTAGACCTGTGTTTCCCCAAGTTCAGCAATGGTAATACGTATATCTGACAGTATAAGTTTTTCTGTCTCCTTGATTGAATCGTCATTGATGGAAGGTGAAGGACGTCCCGAACAAGGGTCATCATCAAGGCTTGTCCTAGCTGCCAAACAGTGGAATACCAAATACACTTGCAATGAACTACTCAAACAATGTACTACATTGACAAGTTTACTTTTTTATGGACACAGTTGAACGTTAGTCAGGCTTAGAACTTTTTGACCAGCCCTCGTATTTACAGGTCGCCATGAAAGAGCAGGAATACTGCCGACTGCGGCGTAAAATAACTTTCAGTGTAGTGAAGCTTTTAATCTCACTGTCGCAATACCATGTCATGCTTTATTGTGTTAGTGTCGGGTTCTAACGGTAGAACAGGACATGCTTACCTTTTCCGCAAACACCTCGTGTCATCGATGCTTTCCTGCGATCCAATCATCTAATTTCAACCGTTATTATGGCTTTATGTTCAATGGAATCTGTTTCGGCGGTTAATCGAGGTTGTTCTCTGGCGTTGACGATATACTTGTTATAAAATCAATTACCTATATAAGATTTCAATTTATCGATCTGATGTTAATTCATATGACACCAATCCAAATGACACCCTCCTGATTAACATATTTCCGTTTAAAAGAATCCTACGTGTGGAGTACTATTCCTAAGTGTATGTGTAGACGTTTCAACAGTAGTCGGGGGCACGGGTGGCCCAGTCGTCTAAGGCCTCGCAATTCGCTGTGCATGGTTGCGTCCCTTGGGCACACCAGAAACCTATGATTGTGTGTTCGAAATCCCGGTTCGCCCCGATTATGTTTCTAGTTTTGTCAGCACCATACCTATTGCTCGTGGGTTTCACCGAAGTTGAAAACATCTGAGACCTGTATCACTTCGGGCTTTCCTCCCACATCCCTCCGTGATGTAACTGGAATACTGTTAAAAGCGGTGTTAAACCCAGCTCACTCACTCACTCCTAGACAAGGGGTCTTTCCTCCCACAATAGATTGACACGCCGTGATGTAACTGGAATAATGTATAACTGACGTTGAACCCAACTCACTCACGTCAACAGTAGTCGTCTGGAAGGAGAGGTGTCCGGATTAACAAAGTTTACTTTGATAAATGGAGTTATTAGCTTGGGATATGTACGCATTAAAGCATTTATACAAATATGTTTTATTGTGATTAGATTTCATATGCAGATAATCGTAAGAGGCGACTAACGGGATCGGGTGGTCAGGCTCGCTGTCTTGGTTGATGCATGTCATCGTATCCAAACTGCGATCGATGCTCATGTCTGGTCTAGACTCGATTATTTACAGACCGCAGTCATATAGCCAGAATAATTCTGAGAGCGGCGTTAAATAACCAAAACCAAACCAATGCACATCAAAATATAATAAAACTGTTCCCATGGATCTTTTTCAAATTTATCGCCCCTGGTCTTCCCATGTTCGTTACGTATTCATCACTGGCCATGTGCAGCCTCAAAATTATATATGCTTTTCACTTAAAACTTAATGTATACTTAAAGATTTTGTTGTTGAAAACAGGTATAAGATGTCATACACGACTTTTTTCAATTGAAATGTCTTAATCACATTTAGTTCTGTGCCCTTTGTTGTCGGAGTTGCCAATGAGTTCTCTCAACAAAAGGTTACTTTATATATAAATTTCATATCAAGCCCCGACGGCAACAAATGAGACATGATGGCAGGTGTATCTTGTCATGATTATTTGGGGCCCAAACAGCTAGTTTTCCATTTCCTTTAGTGTTTATAGTTGTATTGTTTCAAACAAAAGTACACGATATAAGTAAAACAGGAAGTGCCTCGATGATTCAGTGTATATATACCTCCACTCTATTATAATTTTAAGATGATCCAGTAGCGTGAAACCCATTGGGTGATATGGTCACCATATGTCGTACCAAGTTTGTGCAAGGGATTTTGATCGGAAATCAAATATGGCTGCCAGGAGCCATATTGGAAAATATTTAAAGATCAGTTATCAGCTCTGCATACACCACAACATCTTCCCGAGGCAAGGGTGTCAACTGACTACAGAAGTGGAAACTGGACTTTTACAGTCAGTTAACTCCTTACCTCGGGAATATGACTACACAGTGGAGTCATATCATCTGTGACCGAAACTAAGATCTAAATAACGCGCACGCCAACTTTCAAGCATTTTTGTGTGTGACAGTTTGCCTTTTTCCCATTAAGAATTGTTTGAATTTGACTTAATAAGGGTCCTGAGTATAAGTAGTCACATATTTTCAATCCATTATTATTATTATGCAGTGTAAATCTGCAAGTTGTAACGTAGGTGATTGAATTTATATCACCTATAAAGGCAAACCAAATTGGACCAAACTTGACCTTTAGGTTTAGCATGCCAATATTTGTGACATTGTGTATACCCAATTTTTACATACTTGTACATAACAATAGGCAAACTGTCATTTGATTGGCTGAATTTGTAACACTGATAACTTCCATAATTAAAGATCAATTTGGATCAAAACCAGCTCTTAGATATTATACACTTAATGTCGAAATATTTGTACAAGTATCACTTGTCCCCAACTTGATTCAAATAAAACTGTTTCCTATAAAAAAAAATCTGCCCCCCAACCCCCGGCTGGCTACGGCACTGTTACGATCATATTGCTATAGTGAGTGAATGAGTGTGGTTTTACGCAGCTTTTAGCAATATTCCAGCAATATCACGGCCTATTTTTAGGCATGTGTTAAATTATCCCTACAGCCCACCTGAAGGGTTTCTTAACTTGATTTGCACTCTAAACACGTCTCTGAGCAAGAAACCGGGAATATTTAGAGTTACCTCCCTTATGTTACACTTCTTTCTCGTTAACGACCGTCTGCACTCTTTTCCGTGATTGCAACACGCTCTCTTTAAACATATACATGTGCATATTAGTATGGATACTATTATATTAAGAATCCCGTTCCAATTGTTACGTTGCGATGTTCATAGTATTCTAGATTCTAGGCTAGAAACCGAGGCAGGTCTGAGTCGGGGCTTACAACAGGCTGGGTCTGGTTCTGTGTCCGTTGATTTACGAAAGTCCACGAAAATGTTCTCCACAACAAACCTTGTGTTACACGGAGATGCCCTTTGACATGCTTGACGGTAATCCATTTGCTTCATTTTATCAATAGTATCCTTCACGACATTATAGCAGTATGAGGGGCGGTCGGGTAGCCTAGTGGTTAAAGCGTTCGCTCGTCACGCCGAAGACCCGGGTTCAATTCCCGACATGGGTACAATGTGTGAAGCTCATTTCTGGTGTCCTCCGCCGTGATATTGCTGGAATATTGCTAAAAGCGGCGTAAAACCATACTCATTCACTCACTATAGCAATATGATCGTAAACTAGGAAGGCTGAACCAAATGCTGTCATATTTCGTCAAATGGTTGCTGTGCAGCCTCATGCATGATGCTGCATGTTTGAAGAACTGTTCTTCGGGACTTGGCCATACATAAGATGGATACTCCAACCCTGTTACAACTGCGACAATAGATTATATACTAGTTTTAGTGGTTTTGTTGTTGGTACTCACATCAAGCTGAAGACATTTTTGTATCGTCTGTAAAAGAAACTGAGGCATATAACAAACAGTTTTGAAGTTTCAACCATTTTATTCTTAGCATGCTAGCTGTTATTACAAATAAATTACACGACGCCTTTAGACAATGCGCATGCTTTATTAAAACAACACGCTTCGAGTAATGTTAACAAGAGACAGCTTATCATTATATCACATGATGTATTCGGAGATTAATAATACAAAAATCACATTTATTCCGGCAATAAATAAATACAAAGAGATACTATATACCACTTGTGCCGACTTCACTGGCGCCTACAACCTACGGAATAAATAGTAACGCTTCGACAATGAATATAACGCATTCAACAGGACTGACTGCTTGCATTGCACCAACTTAACCCACGTCAGTCGACACAACGAGTTAGATAATATACCAGACACATTATCATGGGTTTTCGGAGAGAACCAAGTCGACTTCCCTCTTAACAACCAAGCCATTTGCGCATTTAGCCATAAACAACATTTATGAAAGATACGACCTTGTTGCTATGCGCACGTTGTGGCTAGTTCAGTTCTATCTTTGAAGAGATGTTTACAAAAAAATGGACTGATGTTTTTTCTAACGTTATTTTTACATTGTATGTATTGACAATAACCCTAACAACTTCTATTCAGTTCTAATACTGAAGATTTTTACTTCCGGTTTTACTGGAAGAATATCAAAGAGAAAGTGGGACAAAATTATTCACTCTCATTTTCATGTTGGTACGATAGAACCATCAAGTACAAAAAACGTTATAAAAGTGAAATACCAATATAGAGGAATAGCAAAATACATATTCATAAATATATACGCTGTTTGAGCGATGTTACCGTCTGCGCATGAGCGGAAATGAAGGCGACCACAGACAAAATGCCACCAAACTTTACAAGAACAGACGCAAGGCGCTTGGTATATAATAAAAAAAACAACAGAGCGTAAAATATGAGACTTATTGTGGTAGAAAAATATACCTCAAAACAATAAAGCAGAACTTCCACAGCCGAGAAAATACAACCTATTGAGTGGAAACTTCATTCAAGTGCACAGCCTTCATGATGTACATATTATATTTATCCCTGTACTGTATATATATGCTCTTGAACCACCGTCGGTGGTCTACGGAGAAAGAAAGAATCTAGAACCAGGCAATGGCCTAATGACAGTGTGATTCCAGAAACAGTCTATCGTGTTTGTCTGCTAACTTACTTTTGATCACGCATATATAATCTACCAGTCAACCCAGGGTCTAAGGGCAGACCAATGGATATTCGGGGGGCGGCCTATTTTGGGTTTGTTTGGCCCGAGACCGTTGAGCATTTAAATGCGAGGAAGAGAATATATACAAATATATAAGTCAACTTCTTTATATTGAGGAACACAACGTTTCGGAGTATATGCTTACTCCTTCATTCACCTGATGAAGGAGTAAGTATATACTCCGAAACGTTGTATTCCTCATAATAAAGAAGTTGATATCCATATATTCTCTTCCTTATGTGTATCTCTTCTGAATGCCTTTCAAAGACCTTATTTGAAGGCGGATTTCAATCTGTGCCGTTCCTTAACATGTCTGGTATCAAAAAGAGGTTGTATTTTCACAGCTACAATTACTGAGACAAGTTGCCTCATTCAGCAAATGATGACGCACAATATCACTTGGTTTGTATTGAAGGCGCCGAACGTATATATATATATATATCTCGACAAAAATAATTACAATATATGGAAAGCAGCGACTATGAAGAGCTTACATTATCATCAATCCATTATTACACCAGTGACCAATAAATGCGTATTCGTTGAGTTAGTGAAAGGATCCAATGCTTGTTGCAATATTAATGACAATAACATATTTTCACTTAAGCTTTACTTGCATAAGAACCTATTGCATATAAGCATAATTACACGAACAAATAATACTGCTGTAAGTAGAATTAGCATTCCCGACACTATAGCATAGAGAGAGCATGGATATTATTCACAGTAATCTTTGGCTGAAGAACATCTAACTTGGAGGAAGATCATTGGTGTTTCATTACATAAATATTTTGGCACTGACGTCACCGATTCAAGCAGTGCGCATGCTTGAAAAATAATCGATTGAACATGACGACTTGTAATATACATCTGCACACTCACATCAGCTGGGTAAAACAATAGATATGTCCATACCGAAGATGTCCGAGCTTTGCCGGAAAATGCCGATTTCGAAATATCAGGTGATATTTCCGAATAAGGTGACCGTTAGACTAGATGAATGTCACGTGGTACTTTGAATTCGGCATTTTCCGATAAGGTTCGGAATTCTTCTGCATGAAAATGTCTGTTGATGTCATATACACGTCTTTGTCTTAAATGACATACAAACAAAATTGTTTGACTACACAAATGATGTTCAAGGGCACATATAAGAGTGACGTTTCAAAATGATATCCGTATATAGGTACTGGTACATTCAAAAAGGCGGCCTGATCACCATACTGGTTGAATCAAAATGGCGGCCAATAGTTTCAAGATGGCGGCTGCACAGATACACTGGTTGGATCAAGATGGCGGCTGCCTGGACAAGGGTGACGGGGTAGCTTACAAGATGGCGCATGATGACGATTTGTTCCCCTTTCCTTTCTGGAGTTCTCTTTCCAGTTTAATGATCTCTTGAACTCCTGTCACCATCTCCTGGACGGCTTGAATTTCCGAGAGACCAAGACGACGTTTGTTGGAGATGTCGTACACGCCGCCCTCGCTCTCGGTGTGCTCGCCGTGGATACCTGAACAACAACGAACTATTTCAAGCCACAGAAAGGAATTATTGCTAGACATCTGTGTGATATTACTTTGTTTGTTTGTTGTTTAGCGCCGCGCTTAGCAATATTCAGACTATTTGACGGCAGACTGTAAATAACCCAGTCTGTACCAGACAGTCCTGTGATTGACATCATGAGCATCGATACACGTAATTGGGATACGATGACATGCATCAGCCAAGCCAGCCTCTTTCGACAAGCATAGTCGCCTTTTATGGCATGCATGGGTTGCTGAGGACCTATTCTAACTCTAAGTACAATGATGATGATGATGATGATGATGATGATGATGATGACAATGATGATGTGTTTATTTTTGTTATTGTTATTTCTGTTAAGTGGTTGTTTTGGGGGTTGGTAAAATACGTAAAATTTAATTATTAGTCAACATTTACCTTACGGACAATATGGGATTATGTTCGTCCTCTTTCTACCATAAAACATTCGTTATCGTACCAAAGTGGGGCCAAATTTCATTGAATATGCTGGTATTTTACCCACCTCTTGCTTGCAATTTGTATTTCTCACAGATGTTCTTGAAGTCTTTCTTGGCGGCAAGTTTGGGGATCTTGATGTGGACGGACGCACGGAGGGTGGTGCCCAGGTTGGAGGGACAGAACGTCAGGTAGCCCAGACGCTCGTCCCTAGCAAAGGTCAGCTTCTTCTCCATCTCTTGTATAGCCTGTAGCAACAAGGGACATATACAGTGCACACTCAAAATCATAAATAGCCGAGCAGAGTTGCGTCCCTTTGTTGTGCCAGAATCCTATGAGATTGGGAATATCCCTTAATAATTCTTTGTCAGCGTTATGTTCAGTGGTCGTAGGTTTTTCCAATACGGTAAATATCTAGCACATACATCACTTTGGGTTTGCTTCCCCATTGAGCTGTGAAACACTGTGCAAGGAGGCGTTGAACTCAACTAACTCACTCACGCACACTATTCTGAAGACTATCACAGCAGAAGTACTTACCGACACTAGCCTTTTATAGACAGCTCCGATGTCGCCGCCCTTCTGCATGGAGATAATTCTAAGATGGTCCTCCTCGTTCACCCACACGAGGAAGGTCTTTTCGTCGTTGAAGTAGATGCCTCTGCCAGTTGGCCAGTCGTCATAGCCACGGGCTGCCTTGAGGAATCTACAAAAGATGCACGTGCATAGTCATGATTTTCAGTAAGAAGTAAATATAAATTAACGTACACGCCCGATAACCAGTCTCGCTTATGTGCCGCGACACATTCCATTGGGCGTAAACGGCAAAATAGTTGTTAAAATTATGGATGGATAGTTGAAAATCAGTGATGACACCAGGTGTTCGCGAAAAGATTAAGCATGTTGGTTGCACCCGCCACTCACATAATTTCTATAGGAAGTAAGTGTTTGTTTCCAAACGCCGCACAGCATGCCAGTTCTGTGATACGATGTTAAGTAAAGCTTAGGTAAAGTTCGTATCTAGTAGCAGTCATGAGAACGAGATATCCCATTTCCACTTCATTCTAATTATCTGGATATCCCTGCATCCTTTTGATACGCCAGTGCTTTGATATTGCAGGGGGCAACTTAATCAGTCTTTGACTCCCGAGAACCAAACTCTTTCATCTATCCCCCCAAGACGTGTACCATATAAACGTAGTCCTGCACCATTACTGTGGAATTTATATTTTTTAGGATTTTATTTTTACCAAAAGCCTAGGTAAGTCTAGATCAAACTAACCAAGTCTAGTTTGCTTGATTCTACAGCAGAAGAGGAAAGGTGATTTCGAAACATTATTTTCATTATTTTAAAGACTGTTTTCATTGACTAAGTGTTAGTCTAATACGGAAGTTAGGAAAGAAAACTCACCTGTCGTGATCGTTAAACAGGAAGTGATCCTTGGTGAGCTGGTCTTGCATTTCCGAGGTCATGCCCTCCAGTGGATGATAGGAGCCCTTCAGTTGCCCTTCCAGGGAGCCCAGCACCTCCTGACACTTCTTCTCCATAGACTCGCGGTCCTGACAACAGGTACAAGTACCATGGTAATTAAACATAGAACAGGCATACTGGGATGTAAACACGGAGATGGCACAGAGCTTTGGACTAGGAGGGTGCATTTGTGGTTCACGTTTAGTAATCGTGTTATTTTGTTGCTGTTCTAATCCGACCCTTGGACCACCCGTGAAGATCCGGGGTAGAATAGGTCTTCAGCAACCCATGCTTGTCGTAAAAAGCGACAAGCGGGATCGGGTGGTCAGGCTCGCTGACTTGGTTGATGCATGTCATCGTATCCCAATTTGAGTGGATCGATGCTCATGATGTCAATCACTGGATTGTCTTGTCCAGATTCGATTATTTACATACCACCATCATATAGCTTGAATATTGCTGAGTGCGGCGTTAAACAACAAACACCAACCCCCAAAAAACCAAAACGTAAGGTGCTCAATAACCTGTAACATTTCCGAATGTAAACTCAGTATGTTATATTCAAGGCTACATCACGTGTAATGATACATATTAGTGTATCATTATGTATCAGTATACTTAGTACCTCCTACTACCCCTATCCCAAACACACGCACCGCCTTGAGTCGCGTATATGATGGAACAGGGGAAAATTACATGTTTTAACTTATTTATTAAAGTGGGGAAGAGAGAACAAATACGTTGTGTATTTATCCTCTTGGTTAATGCATGTTGTTCTGAGTATGGACATAGTCTTGGATCATACCTTGGAATTAGTGTTCGTATTTCAAAATATCAAATATTCTGAACATTAACGATCGGATTATGATTTAAATGCTTTACAAACGTAACTCCCTCTTAAAGGATGAGTTAGGAATGTCGCGATAATGATTAACAAGTACATCTCCACTCGTATCTGCTAACAGTCATGTCAATTGTTGACAGCATTATCACCGGAATTGTGGCTTGAAATTACTCCGCACCAGATAATGAAATAAGACCAAAAAACGTGCTCTATTGCAGATTCGATTATTACGTAATGAGTCATAACGCCCTGCCATCAGCAGTGACAGCTGTACGTTACATTATCTTATCTGAACAACACACCACTATCTCTTAAACCTCTCCCTTACGAGCACTAAGAACCCGTCTCTCTTACCTCTTTAGTAAGAACTGGGGGGAACGCATACTCCTTGTGACTTCTTCCAACGCGGATCCTGGTAGAAACGATGAGGTCACCTTCGGGGTCAAGGTCAGAGAAACCCAAGTTTTCGATGTCGCCGAAGTTTGACGGCGGGTGGGAGATTGGCTCTTTGGTGGACAGCTTGTGGTAGTCCCGGATGACCGGGTCAAAGATTTCAGCAAACGTGTTGTAGGATTCCGGGTCGGCGGCGTAGATACCCACCCCGCTGTCAAGGTTCTTCACCCCTGGTGGAGGAGGGAGAGATATAGGGTTAAATATGCACTGAAACACCAGGCAACTAGCGGGGATATTTAACTATTGTGATATGACGGGTAGCTCTACCTTCCAAACCACCTTCCTTGAATATGATGATGATAATGATATAGTGATGATGATGATGACGATGACGATGACGGCAATCTAATTAAAATCGGATCTTAGTTCTCGCTGCCGCTAAACAAAGGTCTGAGGATATCCCATTACGGGTCATGTCAGAACGACCTTTCATCCGATCAGTCAAAGGGTAGCTTACCAGATCAGGAAAGTGACAGTCGGAATATGTTTTCGAATCATGCATCATCGAAAAAGGTATCATTACCCAGGTCAGTAGATCAGTGTGCATTCGAATTCATCATCAGCTACTGGAGTATACAACCAACCCAATGTACATTATAAGGCATTGGAAGGTCTCCAACCACATACGTACTCCAGTGAGTGAGTGAGTTGTGTTTAACGCCGCTTTTAACAGTATTCCAGTTATATCACGGCGTGTCAGCTTAATGTGGGAGGAAAGCCCGAAGTGATGCAGGTCTCAGACGTTTACCACTTCGGTGAAACCAACGAGCACGGGTATGGTGCTGACAAACCTAGAAACATAATTGGGGCGAACCGGGATTCGAACCCACAATCATTGGTTTCTGGCGTGCCCAAGGGACGCAACTCTGCACAGCGAATCGCGGCGCCTTAGACGACTGGGCCACCCGTGCCCCCACATACGTACTGCAACCTACCGGGTACCCTTTCACTGCTGGGTGAACGCAGGCATGTTTGTTCTTATATTCTGTTCACGAATATGTTGTACATTATTTCAGGCTTAATTGGCTATGCAAGGATGCAGATTCGCGATACTATTTGCCTGTTGTATCTTCGAAACATAATTAACGTGTTCCTAACCTGTCACTCAGGAGCCTAAATTTCAGTGTGACTTATGACAGTCTCGTTTTTATCTCGCATTGACTTAATACTAAGCTACGAAGACACTTGGTGATGACAGTGACGTATTCATGGGCCTACTTATAACCTATCTAGGTTGGCTGGGGAAATACATTTCGATGTAACCCCCTAACGTTCAAAAATCGAACTTATCTTAAATACGAAACGAAAGAATAATTTGCGGACTTGTTTGTTTTCTATACCTGACATAATGCAGTCCGACAGTGTTGCATTGTGGGATGTCTTCTTGTCCTTGCACTTTTCAAGGACATCCTTGCTGAAGTACTTCTTCATCAATGACTTGCAGTTCTTGGCCTTGGACACGTGTTCGTACATTTCCTCCAGACTATCGGGGTTCCTGAAGCAGAGAAACATGTGACAGATCGTCTCAGTACGTTCAATGGATTGGCAGTTATTAAGGAATGATATCGGAGGAAACGATTGCATGTCGGTTCACGCCACATCATTATACCAGCTGCATGACGGCAGTCTGTTTAAGCAAGCGATGCAACCAGCACACCAATGGTTGATAGCACGAGACACGATCGACGCGGTGGAGGCAAAATGGATAACAATCAACCAGTCACAAAATTTTAAAATTTGATTCATTCCGGTCCTATGAGTGAGTGAGTGAGTGAGTGAGTGAGTTGGGTTTAACGCCGCTTTTAACAGTATTCCAGTTATTTAACGGCGTGTCAGCCTAATGTGGGAGGAAAGCCCGAAGTGATGCAGGTCTCAGACGTTTACCACTTCGGTGAAACCCACGAGCAGGGGTATGGTGCTGACAAACCTAGAAACATAATCGGGGCGAACCGGGATTCGAACCCACAATCATAGGTTTCTGGCGTGCCCAAGGGACGCAACTCTGCACAGAGAATCGCGGCGCCTTAGGCAACTGGGCCAACCGTGACCACCCGTGCCCAGCCCCCGGTCCTATTTCCAATTATTTTTTTTCGATAAAATCGTACCGTAGCGTTGCTCTTGATATCAATCACTGGTTACTCGATTATTTACAGGCCGTCGCCACATAGCTGGATTACTGGAAAGTGCGGCATTAAACACTAAACTCTCACCATGTCAGTTCCTTCTCTAGTCTCAGGATCTCCTTCACACCGTTGTACATTTCAGTAACGGCTTGCGCCTCCGTCAGCCCAAGACGACGCTTGTTGGAGATGTCGTACACGCCGCCCTCGCTCTCGGTGTGCTCGCCGTGGATACCTGAAAAAACAGAGTAGTTCTTTGAATATTTGAATCAAAATAACGTTGTCCAATTTTTAAAGACATTTTTTCCGAATAAATAAATTTGTCTTTAATAAAAGACAAGAAAATATGTTTGCAGATAGATTGTGATATATTCTTAACGATTTGTCACTCTTTTTCTTTATTTCTCATTACTGATACGGCCATAGGCCCACAGTTCATGTATAGAAAGTAGTTAAGGGTACATTTTAACAATAGAATATACACCCATAGCCATGCTAACTGTTAAATTACATCAAGTCGTAAGATTCGTATACCATGGGAAATGCACAGAATGACTATACTAATATTAAGAAAACACGGGCCTATACTAAACATCTTTTGTCTCGCATACATGATGAAACATTGGCTTGTAAACGATACCAATTTCTGTTGGCTTTACCACTCGTTCATCGAGGGTCAATCGGACCAACTAAAATTGCCTTGACCACCGAGGATGATGTCAGGTGTGTTTCTGCGTGTTCCTCACCTCTTGCCTGAAGGTTGTACTTGTCACAAATCTCCTTGAAGTCGGGCTTGGCCGCAACGGCTGGGATCTTGATGTGCACAGACGCTCGCAGGGTCGTTCCTAGGTTGCTAGGACAGAACGTCAGGAAGCCAAGATGGTCGTTCCGGGCGAATTTCAGGGTTTGTTCCATGGACTTGACAGCCTGGAAATGAACATGAATGCTATGAATAGAGGTGCGCATGATGTATACTGTGTCCACATCACTGCTGTTCTAATCCGAGCCTTGGATTACCCGTGAAGATCCGGGGTAGAATAGGTCTTCAGCAACCCATGCTTGCCGTAAAAAGCCACTGCGCTTGTCGTAAGAGGCAACTAAGGGGATCGGGTGGTCAGGCTCGCTGACTTGGTTGATGCATATCATCGTATCCAAATTGCGTAGATCGATGCTCATGATGTCAATCACCGGATTGACTGGTCCAGACTCGATTATTTCTTAGACCGCTGTCATATAGCTGGAATATTGCTGAGTGCGGCGTTAAACAACAAACAAATGATACGACCATTGTATCTCAGACAAAGGTGTAGTTACATTTAAAATGTGAGACAAAACAACCCTTTTCTGAACACTCCATCAGTGTAGAAGTTCTACTAAAGGTTCCTTACCGATACTAGACGCTTGTAGACAGCTCCGATATCGCCACCCTTCTGCATGGAGATGAGACGGAGATGGTCCTCCTCGTTCACCCACACAAGGAAGGTCTTGTCGTTGTTGAAGAAGATGCCTCTGCCTGTTGGCCAGTCGTTGTAGCCGCCGGATGCACGCAAAAATCTGAAACATATTCAGTTTACAGTAAGTATGTTCAGCAAATGAATTATTACTTTTGAAAAAGGAAATTGATTCTACTCTGATAACGATATAGTAATGCCTCTTAGACGGAATACCTGTCATGGTCGTTAAACAGGAAGTGTTCATCTGTCAGCTCCTTCTGAGTTTCCGGTGTCATGCCCGTCAGAGGGTGATACGTTCCCTTAAGTTCTTCAGGGAGCTTATCAAAAGCTTCTGTTGTCTTTTTCTCCATCTCTTCTCTTTGCTGAAACGAAAAGGCATCAAGTACAGTCCAACTTATTAGTTCGGCTGATACTACAACTGACGCTGAATGACACTTTATCAAAATAAAGATAAGTTAAGAAAATAACCCACTGATTCCTGAAGTATTGTTAAAAAACCCGAACCTCTTTGGTAAGAATTGGCGGAAAGCCGAGTCCATCATGTGACCTTCCAACTCTGACCCTGGTGGAGATGATATATTTCCCTTCCGGGTCAAGATCTTCTAGCTTCATCTTTTCGACATCTCCGAAGTCGCAGTTTGGATGTTTGATTGGCTTGTTGTCCGGGACCTTGTGGTAGTCCTTGATGACGGCGTCAAAGACGTCAGAAAACGTCGTGTAGGCCTCTGGGTCACAAGCATAGATGCCCACACCGCTATCCAGGTTTTCACACCCTGTAACGAAAACATGACATTATATATTGTCCAATGTTAACGTTGTTAAAAGTTATTAATGGAAAGTCTTACATCAATATGTTGGAGATGTGTGCGATAGAACCTCGTTAAGCCGGACCCCGTTTATCTCGTTGGGAACATAACTACAAGGCTAATCTCTTTGGGAACTGTCCAATCCAGATTAACGAGAGTTCGGTATGTACAGGTCGTCTAAGGTGCCGGATTTGCTGTGCAGATTTGCGCCCCTGGGCTCTCCAGAAACGTATAATTGTAGGTTGGAATCCTGGTTCGAATCCTCGTGGGTTTCACCAACGTGGTAAAACTCAAAGACCTGCATCACCTTCCTTTCATACATACATTTTGGAATAATTGAAAACGATGGCATTATGCTCTTGTTTATGTTACGTTAGTCTGGAAGCCGGAAACTCGGGCAATTTTTTAGGGAATCTTAATTAGAGTAAAGCTTGGAGCTGCGATTGAGTACACACTCAGAACAGATATATTGGGGCAAAACGCATTACAGAATTCCATTTTCTTTTTAATGAACATGACACAGTGACGTCAGTGTATTATTATATATAGGGTTAGATATCGTATGCAGGCCTTGACATTTTCATAATGGTGACGATGGATATATGACAGTGTAAACAAATATGTTTTCTTGCCTCGTGGGCTAATGTCTTCAAACGTCTTATATATTTCCAAAGCGATAGATGTAAGCATGTGTTGAAGGCAGGTCTACAAACTGAGTGTGGGGCGGTCGGGTAGCCTAGTGGTTAAAGCGTTCGCTCGTCACGCCGAAGACCCGGGTTCGATTCCCGACATGGGTACAATGTGTGAAGCCCATTTCTGGTGTCCCCCGCCGTGATATTGCTGGAATATTGCTAAAAGCGCGTAAAACCATACTCACTCACTCACTACAAACTGAGTGGAAACAAAACGTATTTGTGTTTTCATCTCCACCGTGTGTCTACCCTGATCGATCCTTATTAATTCTTATTGGTCTACTGACGAAGTTTGTTTGTTGTTTAACCCCGCACTCAGCGATATTCCAGCTATATGACGGCGGTCTGTAAATAATCCAGACAATCCAGTGATTGATATTATGAGCATCGATCTGCGCAATTGGGATACGACATGCATCAACACAGTCGGCGAGCCTGACCACCCGATCCCGTTAGTCGCCTCTTACGACAAGAATAGTCACCTCTTGTGGCAAGCACGGGTTGCTGAAGACCTATTCTACCCGGATCTTCACGGGTGACTGACGAAGTACAACATCAGTTACACATATATATTTTTTATGTATTTACTCACTCACTCTTGATTAATGGTTAATAACATGTTGTTTTAAGTCAACTATTCCAATACACAGGACGGCCTGTGGATGATCGAGTCTGGACTAGACACACCAGCTCGATGCCTGGGTCGGGATGAAATGCCATACAATCAGCCAAGTCACACATGTTGTCACCATTCGAGAAACAGTCGGCTGGTTCTACAAACAAAGAGATTCGTGTGACACCAATCTCATGAAAATCCGATATTTTCCTCCGATAGATATCTCTCTGCGTCACTAATATCAGGACACATGCATGGAAGATCGCTTCAGGTGAACCCAAAGGAAATTTTGATCGCCCAATCAAAACGAAGGATGTGTAAGTTCTTGAGCCAATCAGATGTCAGCTTTCTACAACAATTCGGCTTCATGTCTTAACCGTCTCGATTCGAACATTTCGATCTCTGCGTGCACGTCGCTGAATAACTGCATTTACCCTGGAACGCGACATAAACCTCATTTCAAGTCATCTCACCCTACGTGGGAATAATATGTGAAGCCCATTTCTGGTGTCCTCCGCTGTGATATTGCTGGAATATTGCTTAAAGGGACGTAAAACCATATTCACTTACTCACTCACTCACTCAGTAATACTCTTAACTCGCCGATAATCGGACGACATTTTCTCCTGTTTACAAGTCAGTGTGTGAGCGCGCTTCATGGAACCCGAAGGTATGTTCTGTATACAGAACTGTCAGTGTCAACAAACAGGGTACTGCATAATCTCTACCACAACTACCATTTCAACACAGAAATAATTATTAAGAACTGTACACACTGGTTATGAGGCGAGTGGAAGTGTATGGCGTTGTTTACGTTCCCTGTACGTTAACGCCAAAACCACGCGATAAAACAAACGCACTTAATTACACGATGCCAAGATTTAAAACACACTGCTAAGAGAATGTGATGGTTATCGCCAAATGCGCCTCCATTTATTTTAATTCTCAATTTCCCCGCTCGTCTCAAGTTCGTAGACAACGTGCGCTTGTATTTCAAACCGTACAGCAATCGGCAACAAGAGTGATGGAATGCCCGCGCACCTGTCAGGGTCATCGTATCGTTTCCGGGTCAGCTCGAGATACAAGCCAGCTCATGGCGATATTCGACACGAATTACCACCAATATAAATCTATCCCACCCGCGGCACGTGCTAGAGCGCAGCGTATCTAGTCCCCCTCCCCCCCCCCCCCCAAGAGAAATTTGATAAGAGGGGCAGACAGCAACACAAATACATGAAGCAGCCGCGGGCAGACAGACACAGCATTCCGTACTACACTGACGGTTCAGAAATCTTTTATTTTTTTTTTAAAAGTAAGAATTCTACACAATCTCTTCCCTTCATATAAGTCTTAGTTTAACGTAATTCATAGGCGTCTCCAGATAAGACGTCTTCAAGATGTTCTTTTATTAACACATCGTTTCAAACCTAGCATTGTCCATTTTACTGAAATGTCCCGGATCATGAAACTTGAAACCACATAAAACAGGGCTTTTATTCATGCGGCTGATTATGGTTGCTTTTATCCCAGTTATACCACGGGGGAAAACAATTCTGTGTGAAGAATCGAACCCGGTCCCGGCGTAAGATTCCAACACTATAACCACACAACTAGCCTTGCTCCAAGGCTGTACTGAAAGATAAGTATCTGTGGGCAGTCTAAGGACTCCCATCTTCCCGAGGCAAGAGAGTTAACTGACTTTAAAAGTCCAGTTTCCACCCTTGCCGAACATGGCTGGAATTTCTGGGCTCGATCGTAGCGCCAACAGTGGCTATTACGAGTTATGTCCCTTCTGAGCCTCTCCCATAGACCAATGAGATTCCACTTCTCGTATCACTTGCATTTGCTTCAAACGAAATGGCGGCGTCCAGTCAGGACGATCTGATCGATAATCAAGATCTATATTGTGATAAAACGGGTCTTACATCGCGAAATGCATCAAATCACGTGAGCACCTACATTAAAAACATGAAAACATTTGGAAAATATCTGTTGACAACGAGTTGGCGGTGCACATGCTTTGCAAATCCTGCAATCGACCGAAATCTGCACGACAGTTTACGAACCGGATTTCGATTTCGTTGCGCGATATTGATTGGACTATGCATACACTCGTTAGTCCAGCCAAAATGTAACTCCATAATGCCAGCCTAGTTCGGCAAGGGTGGAAACTGGACTTTTATAGTCAGTTAACTCCCTTGCCTCGGGAAGATGAAGGACTCCAGTCTAATAGGGCCAACTTGTTCTTAGAATCTAGAAATTATGATTTAAACTAATAAATTACTGCCTTAGAGACTTGTGCAAGTCTACTACACAACCAACGATAACCCTGAAGACGAAAGATAATGTAACCCGATTGAAGAATTATTCCAACAATATCACAAAGGGCCCCAGGGACAGACTTCACGCATTGTGCACGTTGGGAGTCGAACCCGCAATGTAAATAAACATTGGTAAACTTATTTTTGTTTGTTTGTTGTTTAACGTCGCACTAAGCAATATTCCAGCTATATGACGGCGTAAATAATCGAGTCTGGACCAGACAATCCAATGATTGATATCATGAGCATCGATCCACGCAATTGGGATCGATGGCATGCATCAACCAAGTCAGCAAGCCTGACCTACCGATCCCGCTCGTCGCCTTTTACGGCAAGCATGGGTTGCTGAAGACCTATTCTACCCCGGATCTTCAAAGGTAAACTCAGTACCTTAGTACGAAATACAATATCTATACAATACAACTGATTTGTCAATTATGTTTGAGTGACACATATCGTATTATTGGAACAGAAGACCACACGAGTTTTGAAGAGCGCTTGAGATAAATTTGTTTCCGTAGAGATAACTGCCACATAGGCATGCTATTCCTGAGATTGTATTATGCAAAGGCTAGCGTTGTACATAGCAACATTATAACGTGTAACAAAACGCCTAGACAAATCGTGTCTGCTATCAGCTGGCAATCACCAGGAGTACGCTGTTGGCGTCTGTACACGCCCATAGCATGTGTGGTGAGAGGATCACTATTCTTGTCCGCCATTTTTTTGGCCTCTCGAACGATTCTTATTTCAACAAAACCACCACCTGCGCCATACTGTTATGACCTAGACATAAGTCGATCGTTACAAGTAAACATATGCGCCGGTGTTTACGTGGCGTTGGAGTTAGCACTGTACATCCCATGTCGCCATATATAGATAATCAAAATGGATAATCGTCTCCTTCACCTTTAATAGAACTCAGTTTAATCAATAGCTGAAAACCACGTGAGGATTCCGGGTAAGAGCGCGCCCCCATCAACCTATGCTGGTCGAACCAGGCTAATGAATGGTTGTATTTTTTTCTTGGTTTGTTGTTTAACGCCGCACTCAGCAATATTCCAGTTATATGACGACGGTCTCAGCAATATTCCAGTTATATGACGACGGCCATCGAGTCTGGGCCAAACAATTCAGTGATTGACATCATGCGCATCGATCCACGCAGTTGGGATACGATGATGTGCATCAACCAAGGCTTATGAATGGAACAGGTAGCTGGGTTCGGTGACGTGGATGATTACGTCGTCAATGTAGTGGGACATTCCTGATAATATTAATCACTGGATTGTCTTGTCAAGACTATATTAGTTTCAGGCCGTCGTCATATAGCTAGAA